TAAAAAAAAACAATATTTTTAACGAAAATTTCAGACGTGCTAGGAACAATTAAAAAATGTAAAAAAATACCCCCAAAATACTTTGATCTTTCCTCTTTAATAATAATATGAACATTAGACGATAAAATTTTGTTTTCGTCAAGTTCGGTGTCTTTTTCATTATGCTATGCTCTTTTGTTTACATTTTCGTGGGTGAGTTGTTCCCCTTTCATTCTCACGATGTGTCTTAATCGTGTTTTCAAATTGATTTTCTTAAAAACAACTGTGTTTTTCCCATTTTCGGTGCCGTTAGAACCACCAAAGGTAATTTCATGTAGTCCTGTGAAGTTTTGTTGAAATCGCATTAAAAATGTAGGAAATTCAATCCAAAACATATAAACGCTACAGACACACACACACACACAACCTGCGTTTTATAATAAGTAAGATAAGATATAGACAAGTTTTGCCAATTTATTTTATGTAAATTCTTTTCATATCGTCTGATAAGCTTAATAACTTTATCATTAAAAGATGAAAGAAAATCACCATATTGATACATATGTTTTAATCCTATCTAAGTTTTCGGCTTACATAAGCCATCATCAAAGATGACAATTACATTACAATATATTAACCAATACACAAAGAAAACAATAACGATAGTCTGTTTTTGTTTATTTATAAAGGTAAAAGACAATAGGAAAACTGTATTATTAGCCAACGCATTTTGTTCAATGTGGACCTTTTTAAGGTAAAAATGAAATGAATTTATTAAAAACAAAGTAACTATTAACAACAAAACACAATGTCCTTAGCAACTAGAAAAATATAGAAAATGCTATTGTAACCATATTGTCAAGTGAAAATTACGTCAAGTGCTATCACATTTGGAAATAAGTTTTTTATTGTTGTGTTGACAGATTCAACCTTCATCCTTTGATATCTTGATAGAAGAATAGAAGCCACTATTTGGAAAATAGCATTTTCAAAAATAAATTAAAACAAGTATCCCTTTTGACCGTAGTCAGGATCATCAAGTCAATGCAAACAATCCTTTCCTTAGTTGCATAATATGTGCTTTACCAGGGCTACATACAGTTTTGAACTCAGAGTTTTCCTTCTCCTAGATCGATTTTCACCCAAGGCTATTTACCCATAGCTAGGGGATGGGGAGAAGGGATGGATTCGTAACCTTCCCATGGTTATCCCTTCATAAATTTTAAAACATTTTTCCAAATTAATTTTTGTCTAGGCTTTTTCTCAATTTCTCAACCTATAAAATGTGGGAGATTTTGACACATCCTTATCCTATATATATATATATATATATATATATATATATATATATATATATGTTATGGGGTCCTCCCCTTTTTCATATAAGTGGACTCGACCAGAGTGTTACTTGGACTGTTGACGTTAAATACCCAGAGACAGTCAGTCAGAGTGAGAGTAGAGATAGTGAGAAGACTGAGATTGTGATTGAGTTGGAGGTAGAGCAATAGTGTGAGGTAACCACTTGTAGAAGTCACAGTTACAAGCACGCTAAGGAAGTCCTACTTCGAGACTGCCTATATCTATATGTTATTGCTACTAAGCACGTTCCTGGATTTACTAACAGTATTACCCTTTGTATTATTGTGTAAATACATTTAATTTCTTATATTAAATTCTTGCGTTTGTCATTTTTTAGAGACTGAATTTGATCTAGGAAACAACAATATATATATATATATATATATATATATATATATATATATATATATATATATATATATATATAAAATATTCCAATGATTAACTGTGAAAGTCAAGGTAAGCTATGGAGGATGCTAAGTGATGTAATTTAATGCCAAATAAACTTTAGATAAATTCTTTTCAATTATATTTGTGAATAATTTAGTAGTTTATCATTAATTTTTCTAACATTATATTTTAAAAATTTATATATTATTTTCTTCCATACATATACAGTGGAACCTCAGTTCACGAATTTAATTTGTTACTGAAGGCCATTTGTAACCCGAAATGTTTGTAAGCTAAAAAATATTTTTCCAATAGGAATCAACATAGAGAAAAAAGTCACAGTACAATCAAATTAGAAAAGAATAGCATGGCACAACACATGAAAGTATACATGTATCCTTCTTTGTAGGGGGGAAACCACCATTTGATCCAGTGTGCTTTTACTGCTCAGTCATGGAGAATGACACCGCAAGCAAAGTTCTAATTTGCCTTTTTAAGGAAAGCACAGCCTCTTCACCCAGTTTTTTTACCCCTCAAAAGTTTCATATCTGTTCAATCTCATATCCAAAACAAAGTGATTTCTAAAGAATTAGTAGACAAAGAAATGGAGAGACTTAAACAAACTGGGATTCTATTAAAAACAGAGTTTAGCGAGTGGGCAGAGCCGGTGGTTTATGTAAAAAAGAAGTCAGGAGTTAATAGTTTTTAAGCCAACATTTTTATTATCTGTCTATATTTCCGAGATGAGGTATAGTAACTATTTACACTATTTACATTGTTCGGACTTTGTTGCCATATTCACAAACATTTTGGAAGTAGGACGAAGTGTACAAAATCACCTGAAGAAGGCTGGAGCATACAATAGCCACACATTATTACAGCAGACACTCAGTATTTGAAATAGACACAACATTTTTATTTATTAAACAGTATGTATTAATGTCTATCAGGCTACATGTTCAAGGAATCTTAGTAAAGAAAACATGCTCCCCGATAATCCATTATAACAACATCTGAAGTAATAAAATGTCAGATTGAAATAAATTCATTAATTCTTTTGAAATATATGTGTGTGTGTGTGTGTGTGATAAAAATAGTTTTATGGTATACTATATTTATGGGTAAAATTGCTCAGTAGTGATAAAGCATATGCACACATAAAAACTTAAAGAACAATCAAGGAAACGAATTGCCCCCAAAAAACCTAAAAGAGTTCTGTCAGTGAAACTAGAATGGACATTCTAACCTTATCTTTGACAGTCAGAGCCAAAAGAGGAAAAGGAAAAGAGTAACAGGAGACAAGAAAATGATGTAAAGGAGAAATGACCACAACATTTGACACATACGCACATACACACATACACATTATCTCTGACACTCAGAGCCGAAAGAGAAAAAAAGAAGAAAAGAAATAGGGAGAGAGTAAGAGGGGGCAAGAAAATGGTGAAGAGGAGAAATGACCACAACATTTGACACATACAATTGCACAAAAAGATAAAAAACACCAATAACTAGCATATAAATGAATTACATCAAAATTAGTATAAAAATAACAAAAAAGAGAAAATCAACAGTCAATTTCTGACCCCTCCTGACAAGTGTACTGAACGATTACAAAAATTTTAATCTACGAAACTCTGGACTCAGGTACTGAATATAACATCAGTCATCTAAGTGACAAATTTAATTTGTATTAATCTATATATATATATATATATATATATATATATATATATATATATATATATATATAGTTCTATAACAGAATCTCACATAACTTCTAATTCCAAAATGAAAAAAATTAAATGGATAATGGTTACTGGCACAGAAAGTGGAATCGCCAAGCAAAGTTCAAATTCTGCCCCAGTTGGTTATGTTCACTTTTTCCTAATACAGATTTTAGAAAGCCTAAAACAAAATAGCCAATTGCTTTAAAGTGTTCAAGAGAATAAATCTAAAAAGTGGATTAAAAAAAATTTATTGTCTCTTAACATTTAACTGATTAAATCAAAACAAAAGAAAAGTGTGCTGAGTTGCTCTTATATGGCAGTGAATGTTGGACAATCTCCCCACGAATCCGGGAAAAACTAGAGGCAGCAAAAATATGGTCCTATAGAAGGATATTGAGAATTCCATGGATGGAGTGAGCAATCAACAAGGAAGTCTTAAAGAAAATGGCAACAGAAAAAACACTTCCACTCAGAATTAAAGAGAGACAAGAGAAATTTATTGAACACATAATGAAGAAGGAAGGCTTGGAAAACTTGACGCTCACAGGAGCAAGCAAAAGATGTAAAGGAAGGCTGTGGGTCATCTATCTACCTGACAAGCTTGTGTGAATGGATGGCAGAATCGGGAAGATAGGAGGGAGCCTTAGCAAAAGGAGAAAAACTGCTAAGAGTCACAAGGGATATGACGTTGTGAAGAGATATGATCGTCCTTGTCCTGAAGAGACACAACACATAGAAGAGGAAGGATGAAATGTGTTGGAGGTAAGGGGATTGATCATTGGGGTAAGTCACCGTTTTCTTCTTTACAAGGATAGGGAGGATAAATAACAATTGACCCATAACTTGAAGACTAAAGTGGCCAGGAAAGCACCAATATGGGAGTTTGTCTCACAAAATGGCAGTTCATGGGGAAAAAGCTGTCTGAGTGGAACTTTCTTTTTACATTTGGAACATGGGAGAAATGAGGATGATTTAACTCCATGGAAGTGACAACAAGTCTTAGCTGTAAAGGTCTGAACTGGTAGAACTAAAGAAGAGAGGTCTTCTGAACATTTGCCATGGAAATAGTAATGGAGTAGCAAAAAGCTTGCAATGTTGCATCTGCAGAGAAGAGGCTGTGGAGCAATAGCATTGGGCTAAATAATAATAACAAAGATGAGGATAATAGTTCGAATGTAAGTAGTGTAAATAAATTGCAAACTAAACATGGATTAGTGATGTGGTGGGATTGGCAAATAGGATTTTCCCTATTTGCATATGTTGGTTATAGGATAAAGTGTAAAGCGTCAGACGATAGGAAGTTAACTACTGATCACGTGTCGTAAAACAACACTATACAAGTGAATTTGATTATCTTTGTTTCATTACGCCAGTCTCGAATATCAAAGCTACTGTATTGAGTTCAAACGTCACTGGGTACTTCACTTTTGTTAGATTCAGCTAAGACCGACAAATGTTAGAGCTGTGAAATAAGAGTTATTTCCCTTGAATTAAAAAAAAAAGTAAGCCCAATAAACAACCAAGGGAGATAACTTTGCTTACCTGAAAATCGAATGATGATCTTTGCTCTTTTTTCGCTCAGACCCAAAGGTTGAATTAACTTGGACATTTCGCGCCAGTCGGCTTTTCGGGCAATCTCTGGCGTTGGATAAAGATCGAGAAATTCCCAGAGCAAAGGAATGGCACATTTACCTTTAATAAAGAAATAAATAAGACAAAATGAGTTTTTAATTTTAAACTGCAAAATTTGATTTTCAAAGAGAGGATAACTTGTGGAGCCTACATGAAGATTTTTTTGTTCCCCATTCAAATTCAAATTTATATATACATATATAAATATTAAATATAAATTTATATATTAGACTAAGCGTGGGTAATCTCATGATAAAATGGAAAAAAAATCCTAATAAACAAAATCCATTCTGTCCCTAGAAGGCATTTCTTCAGGCTAATGATGCTTTTATCAATGTAGTCATTCTGCACCCCGGATTTTTCTTGATATCTCCCAAACCAAAATAGATGACCACTAAAATACTAAAAACTTAAAAGAAAACAGTTATTTTATTGAAAACATATAACACATACAACAATCCCAATCCAAAATAATTTCAATACTAATTTACATATATATATATATATATATATATATATGTGAAAAGTGTGTGTATATAAATATGAATAAATATATATATGTATAATTATTTATATATTATATGCGCGGTACTTATTAGAAAGTGCTCAATATCAGAGATAGAGCTAACACGATCGCTAAAGCGTAAAACCCAGTGTCACAAACGCACATCTATCCAACCAAATATATATATATATATATATATATATATATATGTCTATATTTCTGAGATGAGGTATTATGTACACTATTTACATTATTTGGACTATTGTTCTCATCTTTGTCACCATATTTATTACAACGTTTTGGTCGTTGTACGCTCCGGCCTTCTTCAGGTGGTTGGAATGTCAAACTGAACACTTTATTTCACTCACTGGGAGAGACTGTTCTAGTTCCACATGTCATGTTTAATGGATGTCAGTTATCAGTTATCTCCTGTTAATTCCCCTCTGCAAATTCTCCACTGCCTTAACCGGGTATTGAATTCACACTCTTTGGGTCCTGTCACTGGATCTAACTTACACCTTTATCCACTGTGCCATGTGTCCCTGAAGAAGGCCAGAGCATACAACGGCTGAAACATTGTAATAAATATGGCAACAAAGATGAGGACAATAGTCCAAATAATGTAAATAGTGTACATAATACCTCATCTCAGAAATATAGACAGATTCTCATGTCATTCTGTTCATTATCCCAGGCTGGGAAGTTAATCATTTGCTAACCATCTTCATGTGTTTTAAGGGTTGACAGGTTGGTAGATTTTGAATATTTTTTCGAAATGTGCACCATAAGATGTTTGCCGAAATTACAGACGTTTGTAATAAAATGTTCTGCAAGCTCCGTTGATGTCACATTATTGTGTCTGACATCAAACCTGTTTCCATTGAATTTTTTATTTAATTTTTCCACTGTGCAACACACATAAATCAAGTCATGTTTCGTATATTGGGTGGCATATATTAAATGGGAATCAGTACAATTGCCATCATCTGTAGAAATCGCTTTGAATTTGTGATAGAATTAACTCATGTTGCACAATACACAAGGTTTTCCTCTTCTATGAGTATTTTGGGGAGTACAATGATCCAAAACTTCAATGTTGTTTTAGTGTGGACATTTAAAATTTGTCTGATGTTTTTATTATAATATAATAAGTAAAAATAATATTAATATAATATTTACCTTGTCCATAAAATACACTATGGGCATATTTCAAAAAGCTAACATGCTAGGAAAGATTTAGAATTTATCTACATGATTTAGTTTTGTATAGCATCATTTTTTGGTTTAGCAGACACAAAGATTTCATTGCCAAATATAATTAATATTTATAAGACAATGTCTTCTTATCATACACATATTTTTTTAAATGGTCTGTCCCTTCAGGCTGTAGGCAATCTTAGCTCTCTACAAATTCCTTTTTCTTTTAATATCTAGAAAACCTAGTCTGCTCTGCTATTTAACCCATAGCTGGTGGGAGAAGAGATGGATCCACAAGTTTCCCAAAAGAATTTGGACAAAACTGAACAGAATAGGCTAAACTGGAATTATTAATCACAATTTGTGTAGCATTACTCATAGTAAAAGTTTTTGTATTGTTCTTCATTTTTAAATAGTTTTAATATGAGTAGGAGAAAGAAATAGTGTGTGTACATGTATATCTATCCCTTAAACTATCAACACAAAATGTGAGGCCAATTCAGAATCAGTGTGGTCAATTTAATCTAAGACATATTATGTTGTACAGTGTAATGTCTGAAATTAGTCTTATTTTTAATTTTTCAAAGTAATACAGCTTTAACAGGAAATCAAATAAAAAAAACAACTTATGAATAGAATTAAGATGGCTACTTAGGTATTTGTTGCTGCCATATAAATTCTTTAGCAATATAATGTTTGCCTGTTTTTGTTAATACCTGTAGTTCTGTTAAGAAATATTGTGGCCACAAGTAGTTTCCATGGATCATGGAAGAGACTTTCTTGAATCAAACAATATGGAGATTTGGGTGGAGTCCATTTTGTTTTTCCGCCAAGTTGAAGTTTTGGAATAGGCGACTTGGTTTGCGCTTGAAAATATTTGCTTGATGAAAATTTATTTCTCAATTCCACACATTTTGTTTCAAAACCTAAGGGGTAAAAAAAAAAAAAATCAAATCAAATGTTGAAAATTAATATATAATTGTCAGGTTGTAGCAAAACACAAATAAATTCATGTATTTAAAAAAATAAAAAAAGTTATAAATAAAATTTATCAAAAAGATATAGTGTCAAAGCCTACTCTGTGTTTTTTAAATAAATGAATGCTTAAATTTATTCTTAATTTTTTAAATATTTAAAATTTTTAAATCAGTGCCTCATCAGAGAGATTAGAAAGTCTTTTGTTAGTACAGTTAGCACTCTACACTTGTGATCATGTGCCAGAATAATTTAACTTGGACATTCTCGCCACACTTAGGAGCTGTGAGACAGCAAAACCGTATGTCTGTGGATGACTATATATATATATATTATATACTCCTGCACACTCACATATATATTTAATTGTTAAATAGTGTATATGTATTAAAGTAAGTGTTTGCTTATAACATGTTATCATTTCTTTCATGTTTGTTTTTACACACACACACACACACACACACACACATATATATATATATAATAGCTGGCCACTCATATTCTAAGTTACCTGTCTATTAGAGCAGCTAGCAGACACTCGCTCAGACACACCTGTGGTTCGTACCGCAACTATGCTGAGCAGACCTTAGTTACAATTTCTGGGAAAGAGGATGTTATCTAGTGTGAGCAACAATTTGAACAAGGCCAGCATGCTCAAGCCCTCAGCCACAATGACATGTGACTTCGTGCTAGCACAGCTATTGACAGACCCCAAGGGTTCTGTCTACCCAATTTCACTCACAAGGCTTGGGTCAACCCGTGGTATAGTCTTCAGGCACTTTCTAAAAGGTGCCACACACTGGAATCGACCCCTCCAGTCTGATAACATCAGGAAGTCGCCTTCCTGACAAATGGAACATGATGAGATTTGAATCCAGGTCACAAGGTCAGAATGTGACTGTTCTACATACTCGACCACATTTCCATATTATATATATATATATATATATATATATATATATATATATATGCACACGTGTGTAGCTGTGTATTTTTAATATTTGTTTATTTATTTATTTAGTCGTAAATTAAGTTTATATTAAATTTATTTCATTTATTTATAGTTTATATTTATTTGTTTATTTTTAATTAGTGCTTAGATGGCAAAGTAATTATTTATTTATATGTCTACATTTACTCATTATTTCAGTTTTCCTGTTTTCCTGCTTGCTGAAAAGTCATCATCTGTTATTCCAGTTTTTAAGAACTCTGGTGAACCATCTGACCAATCCAACTATTGGCCTATTAACCTTTTGCCTCTAGGGAAAGTCCTAGAGGCCCTAATCAATGCTGAATTGGTTCATCATCTCTCCTCACAGGTCCTTTTCTCAGACAAGCAACACTGCTTTTGTTTTTCCAGATCAACTGCTGATGTACAAACGATAATTGCAGAAAGAGTCTATCATGCTCTACATAAAATAGTGCTGTAGCATTGGGCATCTCGAAAGCCTTTGACAGAATCTGGCATTCACGTCTTCTTCCTAAATTGGTATTTTCAGGTATGTTTCTGAGCTAATTCAGTCATTCCTAACAAACCGTGAAATGAAAGTTGTCCTAAATGGCCACTCCTCTACATCCTTTTGTACTAACACGGGTGTCCCCCAGGGCTCCATCTTTGGTCCTATGTTGCTTTTAATCTTCATTAACGACCTTCCCAATGACATCAGCTCTCAACTTGGCATCTACTCTAACAACACTACCACTTACTCCTGCCTCGATAATAAGGCTAATCAGTCAGACAAAGTCAAAATGGCAGCTGGTGTCCAAAACAACCTCAAGACTGTTGTTAACTGGGGCAAAAGATGGCTTGTCAATTTTAATGCCTTCAAAATTAAATTGTTCTCCATTAATCATCTGAGAAACCACTGCCTTCCATCAGCATGCGTGATGCTTTCCCCCAAGAAAGTGACTCATTGTTAATGTTCTCAGCTGACATGAGGTGAAATCCATCACTAGTTCAGCTGCTAAGAAAGTTAGTTCACTGTGTAGGGCAAGACAATTTTTCTCTCCAGAATCTATCTTGAATATCCATAAGCCTACCATTTGTTCATGTTTAGAATATTGCTGCCATATATGTTCTGGAGCTCCTTGATAAAATCCAAAGAAGAATCAGCAATGTTATTGGTCCTGATCTGGTGGCTTGGCTTCAGTCACTTGCCCACTGCCATGCCTCTCCATGCCTTTTTTTATAAATACTTTCATGATAATTGTTTGGATGAGCTCTTTGCTATGCTACCTAGACTGTATGAATTTAAGTGCAATACTAGACTAGTAGCAAGATCTCAATTTACCGTTGAGCTAGATGTAGCCAGAATTTCTATGCTAACAGTTTCATTTCTCACTTGTGGAACTCTATTTCAGTGCTATGCTTTCCAACAAACTTAAATCTGCAAAAATTTAAGTACAATGTTAATCGCTATCTACTATCCACCTAACTGCTCTTTTCTCTTTCTCCACATTACTAATGTTTCTGTTTTTAATTCCTTCACACCCTGTAACCCACTTGCATGCTCATGGCTATACTGCCTTGCTTGGGGTGATACTGATTAAAAAAAAAATTTCTTGTTTAAGAGTTTATTTTGGTTTTTAAAACTAATTATTGTTAACTTTTCCTCTAAGCAAAATTTACAAATATTTTACTATTAATACTGTATGGGACTGCTCTTTTTATAATTTCTTATTTCATTTTGGTGGGGATATTGATTTTCTTTGTGGCTCCATATTTATTTTAATAGGGTTGTATTGTTTGTGTATTTCTTTTTTCTTTTGAATGACATTTTGTAGTTATAATATCTTCTTTATAATTTTTTTCTATAGCACCAATGTAAATTTTTTCACCTATGTTAAATGTTAATAGTAACAATAGCTTTGTATATTATGTTATTGGTTAAACATTTATTGTTAAGTGGGCAATTTTCTTTGTTTCTGCAGTTAAATTTAATGGTGTTATTTTGTTGCATATTATTGTGATTATATATTATTATTATTATAGTGAGCATTGTTTTTTAAAATTAAAACATAATTACTAAAGAACTTTGGATCATTAACCTAACTGTTCTTTCCTATTACATCAATATTCACACACATACATACATATATATATATACTATGAAAAAAAACTTGCACCAATGAAAAGTGCATATAAAAAAGAAAAATCGAGAAATATATGTAGCCAATTGCCAATACCTATTGACAAGTGGATGGAGTGATTTCTGGAGAGTCCGTCTATGAAACTCTGGAGTCATAAAGCTGCAGTTAACATTAATTAGCTAAGTGACAAAACATTTATTTGTATTAGGTCTCATCATATATACAGTTGAAATGGATAGATGTAACTGTAAGTTCTATGTTAACAGTTTCGTCTCTCATATTTCTTGCTTGTTGAACTCTCTTCCAGCCTCTTGCTTTCCAGTCAACTTTGATCTTCAAAAGTTTAAATTCAATGTCAATCATTACATTTTGTCTTCTTAATTCCTGTTCTTTTATTGTTCTCTCTCTCCTTAATAATGGTTTTCTTTTTCTCATATTGTCCCACTCAGTAATCCCTTACATCTTAGTGGCTTTATTGCCTTGCTTGGAGTGAAATGATTTAAAAAAAAAAAGAAAGAAAGAAGGATCCTATTTGACAAGTTTGTGCAAATGGATGCCAGACCTAATAGCACAAAGAGAAAGAAGTATCATAAAGGTGCAAGTATTACTGAAAGCAAGACAGGAAGCTATGAAGAGTCATGACTGCCAATGTCTTGATAGGACATAGCACATAAAGAGAGAGAGAGAGATATCATTACCATTGTGGTTTCAATTACTTGTAAAATCTGCTTTCCTAATGTGTATAATACATATAATAATCTTGAACACTGAACCAATCTTAACTTCCTTAGTTGGTCAAGAAACAAAGATTCATTTGACACAATTTATCTATAATGAAGACAGAGAGAGGAAGATTTAAGACACCCCCCTCAAAAAAAAAAAAACAGTGACTGAAACATCAATTAAAATTTTTTAATGATAGTTTCCTTCAGGAAGTATGCATCTCTGATGGCCACAGATACTATTTTCAGCAATGTTTGACCTTGCTGCGTACAAAAAGAAAATGGAGCATCAAAAGTACATTTATTCTCTTGTCACTGTTATTAAATAAACTTTTGATTCCCTCAGCAATGTTTGTTTTTGAAAAGCAACAATGAGAATTTTTATAAAATCCAAACATGGGAAAATGGATTTATTTTTTCTATATTCTTAATAACAAAACATATTAAACACTATTAGATTGAATAAAAATTTAAAAAAAAAAAACAAACTTGTTTTCATAGTTATCTATAAAATGGTAAATAATAGATATTTCATTGCACTTGGTTTGAATATTTTGATAATTTTGTAATAAATTTTGAATAAAAAGATTTCTTTTCAAATTTATTTCTTTGTAAAAAGGTAAATAATAAACTGTACTTGCATCACATATTTTTATAACCTTGTAAATAAACATTGCTTGTGGAATCAAAAGTTTATACAATAATAGCAGTGTCAAGGAAATATTCGTTCTGACACAGTTTTTTTGCAGGCACAAATGTTAAACATTGCCTTATGTTTATTAACTGAATTGCCATGACTTCTTGGGAAAGACAGTGTAGTAGTTTCCTACTGCCTTCTCCATGGTTTTGAATTAAGAATTTTTCCTTCTCTTAGACTAGAAAGACTAAGATTCTTGGACTTTAAAGTTCAGTCTCTATTGATATTTAATCCACAGTTGGGGGCAGAAAGAGTGTTTGTGCAAAAGTGAACACAACAAACTAGGTCAGAATTAGAATGCAGTTAAAAGCCAATTCCAATTTATTAGCCAGTAACCAATATGGTGCCAATTTAAATATTTCCTTGAAAAGATGATAGAAGAAAAGGACATTATCAAAAATAATAAAAAAAAGATTATAGTCTAAGTCAGTGCTTCTCAAAT